TAAATGTGGTTTTTGTTAGTGTGATCAAACATTATTATCAGCTTCTCTTGGCTTTGTTTCTCCGTGCAGGGTAATTATCTGCATACAAAGAGAGGGGGCTTGAGGTAGCCTGCCCTGTAACGAGGGGTGGGTGAGCTTCTCACATCTACTTATAAGGTGCAGGCAAATAGCAATATGCAAGTAGATGTACATGTCTTTAGTGATACAGACCAACTGAGACAAGGCAGCATGTTGTTGGTCTCTGTGTGCATGTCGGAGTCCTGAGAGGTTCTGGTGGTGGCCACCATTAGGGATCTCCTGGCTCCTGATTTGCTAGCAGGGGTTGTTCTGAATCACAGAGAGGTTATCTTACCTACTTGGTGTGCGTGGAGGGGGACAGAGGTGTGCAATGTGAACCAACCTCACTCATTCAAATGGAAAAAAGAATCTGAAGGTAGAGTAGCCTTTCATTTACACCTGCTCATTCCATGGGCTGCAGGGATGTTCCTCCTCATCTACCACAGCAGAACTGAAAAGCGTGCTCTCTTTTAATTAGAAGGAAGCACCTTTTAATCAGCCAGCACAGTGCTGACAGATGTAGTGCTTGAAAAGAGGCACTGAAAAAGAGGCCTGAACGAATGTCTGCAGCATGTTGCAACCCTCATAGTTTCAGTACTCTTAAGAGGAAGGGTCTCAGCTTTTATTCAAACACCCTTGTTATGCAGCTTCCCATTGGAAAGGCTTAATTACTCTTGTAGCTCTGTTGCTCAGTGGCATCCTAGACAAAGTGCTTTGCCTTCACTGTAAATTGTTTCAAGGCCAGGCAACGTGTGAACAAGTGCATGGGCATCCCGTTACAGAGTTCATCCAAGGTGTGCTTGGCTGTATGAAATAAACACTTAATAAGAAGCTTTGACTCGGGAATGTCACGGCAAGCAGATTTAAGTGGATATATTCTTCCATGCTTTCTTGAAACACATCTCAGCTGCTCTCCTGCTGTTCTGGTACGTATGCTTTGTGGTACCAGGCACAGTGGGCACTTAATCATTTTATAAGGCAGCCAAATACAAATTATGAAGCCAATTAACAAATACTTTCATCTACAGGATTTATACTGCACTTGGCTCTGTTCATACACAGACTAGCACAGAGGGCCCAGTTCAGGAAAGTTAATTCAACACCTACCCAATTTCCATGAGTGTAAACGGCACTTCAGCACAGGTTTACATGCTGTGCCCCAGCACTGGGGGCAAGTTATTCTCCTAACCAGGGCATAGACTAATGGAGCAGGAGATCATCTCCTGGTTGTGCTGCAGATAGGCACTGTGATGTTGGCTAAACTGCTTACTCTGTGCTTTACATTTAAATGAGAACAAGGTGTCTCTTTCATTCTTCTGTATATATTTAGATGTCAAATTCTTCAAGACTAGCTTGACAGAGCAGGAGAGTCTTTACAGCAACTACCTTCATCTTTCTGAGCTGGGGGAAAATACCCCCCTGTAATCAGAGGTTATAGAAAGAAGATGCACCCTCAGGTTGTTTAAATAGGCATCTACTGGGAATCAGTCTCCAGAGGAACCATCATCAACCCAACCAAACCACAAACTTGGCTGAGACTTCAGGGTATTACTGTTAACATGGGTGTTTTCAGAAATGCACTGATGTTGATGAATAGTAAGGTTAGTAGTAATAATAATTAGCAGTTTGAGGCACCTTTTAATGTGTATAATACCATTTGTCCCAGAATACTTAAGAGGAGTGTAGTTGCTTGCTCTGGAGATGGCTGAAATGCAGCCAACTCTGGAATGAAACAAAGGTCGTGTTTTAATGCCATGGAGTGAAGTTGCATGACCTTTTAGGACAGAACATGAATAAGAAGGTTGTGCTACCCCTCCACGTTTGTGCACCAGCTTTTTATGCAGGAGAAGGAGGTTATTAGAATAGCTGGTTGCACCAGGCAATCACTCTTCTGGCCTAGTCCAGATGGGTTTAATTTAAGAGAGAAAGGAATTAGCCAACATTCACTTACAAGAAAAAATGGGAGGGAGAAAAAAAAAAAAAGAGAAAAAAAATTACCAAGAAGACACCTCATCCATTCATGCATGCAGAGATCTCAGTGTTCTCGTATATTTCTTAATCCTACTCTTTCAGCTGCTTTAAATTATAGGTCAGCAAGGTATTAAACAGACATAACTTCAAACACAAGCAGAAAAAAAGGACACAAATGGGGCAATTCTAGGTACAATAAACCATACCTGTCATTCAGACACCTTGCTCATTCTTGGACTGAAATTACAGTTAAAATGCAATTAATAAAAATGGTACTGTCTTATTCAGCAGATCTCTCCCCTTGTTTTTTTACTTGCGGTATAGCTTTACAGAACAGGTATGGTTAAAAGAGCATGTTATTAATTAAGGATTAGTCAGTTCTAGCTGGGCAGGTCAACTGGAGTCTGGAGGTGTCTGCGATAGCCTGGTCTGCCTACTGGTGTTCGTATTGCTGCTGATGAGATGTGAGAAGGATCAAGCAAACAAAAAGAAACCACTGGTGGCTGTGCAGACACTAGGTGAAGCAAGCTGTTGAAAAACATAGAGAAGCCCTTTTTTCTGTAAGAAAGCCACAAGGTCACACTTAGAGAGCTGAGGTTGGTATGAAGCTTTGGAAGATCACTGTGCTATTTACATTAGTACTGTGTTCCTGCCTGGTTTAGGTTTCAGCCACCTGAGTGATCTCACCACTAATGCTTTGTCCAGGTGCTACACAGCAGTCACTGCGGGAACGGACACTGTTGCTGTCTGCATCTGTTTTGGCTGAGTGCAATGAAAATCATATCCTTTAGATACATCTCTTCCATTAAAGATATTTTGGTTGTATTTACTCTGTAGTGCTATCAGGGAAAAAACCCTAATATTAAAATTTATTACTCAGCCAGTGTCCAGCTTTTTACAAGACTAAAACAAGAAGCTGAAATCTGCATTATAAGGCTTCCAAAATCAATGCATTTAAATAGCATGCTTAACAACAGGATAGCAACTTCAAATCCCTAGTTATGAGAATTTCTCCTTAGGTTTTTGTAAGTTTGGAGCCAGTGGCATGCTTAACTACTCCAGGAGAAGGCTTATTCCATGATACCTCATGTCCTGGAATTGCATTAATATTTGGTGAGAGCAGCATGTGCTTTTCTAAGGGAGCTAACTCAGATCAGTCACTGGATGAAAATTTACCTCCAATTTGAAATTTTAGCTGTATGTAAGCTTAGTGCCTCAGGTCTGCTGTATGCACCTGCGGGACATAATATTTCAGTCTCTAGATGATGCTAAAGAGTTAATATCAAATTACCTGGGAAAGTATGCAGCACTTTGAGACAGAATATGGTTTCAGACTGTACAAAAGAACTGCTGAATCTCCGGTGGTAGGACTAGGAGAGAAGATGGAGATTTTGTATGTGTTCTTCTCTGCATATTTACAGGAGGTATAATAATCACTGATATATTTTATTCACATATTGCTAATGGGTCTCATTCTTCTCTGGGTAGCCAGTCCCAGTATAGACTAGGATGGTGGAAATCAGAGCTACATTAACGTAAATATTTGGAATGAGGAGATTGATGTCCTGAGTTCTCCCTCATCCTTGTTTCAGTTCTTCTTTATTGACAGTCAGCAGCAGTTGACATCTTTTTATTTATTTATAGAACTGGGACAAAGTATACAGACAACTCTATGATTATGACTTAGGTGATATACAAGTGAGAGATAACAGTAGAAGGAAAAAATGCTCAAGCCTTGTAGTGGTCATTGTGACCCAATATGAATTTCTTGTATGTTGAATTTTGAATGACTTTCGTTGCTTGGGCAGAGTGTGCTGCTGGTAACAGACCCTTAACAAGGCTCTTCAGAAAAGTTCTTAGCACCTTTTCATCACTATAGGAGCTTTCCACTGACTTCCCTGATTTCATTGACCTAAGACTGGAACTTGCATTTCTACTAGTTAGGGAAACATCTGTATACTGGCACTTCTGGAGTGGATGAAGCTTTATTATCAAAGCTGCACTTTCTACTATTTAAATAGAGCCACCTCCAAAAACAAAGTTCACCTGGTATAATATAAATGTGTCTTCTCTGGGAGATTGTGGTGACAGGGATGGTCTTTAGACACAGCTCTTTAGACCCCCCTGACAGATGACATGCAAAAATATGAAGTTAGACCTGGCAAAAACCCTCAAGAACACAAGTCTGTATGGCTTAGTATGTCAGCTGATGCCTGGTAACTGCATTGTCTTAGCAAGCAAAAATGTGAGATAAATCCTGTTAACTAAGCCTCATCCATCAATGTTATGCAAAAGTGTGTTCTCTCCTATTTGTGAGTGGCTATGAACATGTAGGAGAATTACAGGAGCTCAAGTGATGTGTGATATCTCATGCTACAGTGACTTCTGTCAGGAATTCTCTTGCTTTGCCTGTAGAGATGCACTGACAGGAGGATTGGGAGTATCTGCAGTCACTGCCTTGATTTCCCTGCTGGTTTTCTGTGCAGAGAGATTCTACTGAGAAGTGTCTGTCCTCTTATCCTCCTTTTCCACAAAGTCCTGAATGGAAGTGCCCACAGGGCCAGGCTTGGGGGGAGCGTACTATGGGAGTCAGCTTTGCTCCAGCTGGCTTCTGTCCAACCCCAGTTTTCTCAGAATGCAGAGAAAAACACGAGTGCAGCCCATACAGGACTTAAGCTAAAGCCCTTCGAGGGTTTGCAAACAGTCCTTGTGTTGTTGGGATTTCGTTGTGGCTTATCATTATGGATTCTGGAATATTTCACTCCAGACCCGCTCAGAACTTTGTTATGAGTTTCACGAAGACACTGATGAACAAAGGGCATATAACTATTATTGCATTCTGTGGAGAGGGGTCCAAGAAAAGTTTGTTGTTTGTAGAAATGAATGGCCAAAAACTATGACTTGCTTTTATAACTTTCCCCTTCCTTCTTTGGTAGGCTAACAGTTTGTAATTTTTCTGCTTGTTCATGCAGGAACTACCTCTTCAGACTTAGTCTACACAACGTTTCTCTTATTCAGGTATGTTCACTTTTTACTGTCTTGTTTTATTTGACTTGAAAATGGATGTTGTGTAATATTTGATGTACATTTTCAGAAGGCTGTATAGTGCAAATTTGCCCAGGGTGATGGAGCAGAGAGAAGACAAAGTCAGAACCAGATGCTTATTCCCACTCCAATGATAATGCTGGAGGAAGGGCTCTTCTACACTTGCCCATTTGGACAGCACTCTCTGCTCTTGATTCTTGAGTGTTTTGCTAGTAATGGAATCTGCCAAAAATATGGCATCTTAAGGAACAAAGCATGTAGCGTGACTGATACAGGCTTAAACACAGCAGTCAATAGAAATCTTTGGCTTTCATTAGAGGAGATGTCAGCAACATGTAGGAAAAGCTTTTACTATTCTTGTCCATCCTCATTTTTAGCCATTGTTGGCCTTTTTGAACAAGGATTGCTGAGGAGCTGTGTTTCACTGAATACATTACTAAAACCAAGATTGGACTTGCAAGCATTCAAGAGGCAAAACGGGTTGAAAAATGTATGTTACCTGTGGCAGAATGAAAGCAAAGCAGCTGAAGTTTGGAACGGCTTGCAAATATCCAGCAGCATTAGGACTTTCCTTCCACTGTAATGAATCTGGAATTGAAAGATGCAGCAAAAATTGTTAGTGAAAACCTCACCTGCTTATCTTTAAATAAATAAATACTTATGCTCTGAGATATTTACCATCTTCTACAGTTGCTAGAGCACCAAATATGTATTCAGCATTTTTCAGACAGATTGAAGGGCCTTCCTCTTGTACTTGACCACACAAAGAAGCCATTAGAGTAGTACTGCCAGCCATTCTGATGTGCACAAGCCTTTTGCTGTTAGTAAGAGTTACAAGTATAGCTGGAGAGAAGAAAAGATGTTTAATGGTTGTAAAATGCATTGAATCTTCCTTTAAAAAGAAAACAAAGTCCAGAGTTACCAGTGACAACAATAAAGAGTTAGAAAAGCTGATACTCCCATTTGGCAGCAGATTCCCTTTGCAGAGCCATTTTAGCATGGCTGGAAGGCTTCCAGCCAGCACACAGGAGAGGGAAGTCTCTGTAGTTATGCGAGGTGTCATACCTTCTGCAATGCCTGTTAACACAGTGCCTGACACAGCCTCTTGTGCTTGTCAGACGAGGGATTCCCTTCCATGAAACCCAATTGTGAATCTTGCTTATACACTTGTGTAGTCAGGCTTGGCTTGGGCCCTTTTCAGTGCAGTGGGTTTCCTTTCTTGCACTGCAAAACATGGGAAGTCTCCTTCTATGGCACTGGTGGATGCTGTGGGATCTCCGGTTAACATAATGAGCTTAGTTTGCTCCTGCTTTCTGGGTGTATCCGGTCACTTTGCCAAGACTTTTTGCATGACAAAGAGAGCATGGAATTATGTTGACACACGTGTTGGGAATGATGGGAGCGATTGTTTCCCGACCTAATGGTTGCCTAAGTAGCTGCTTGGCTTGTCTCCATAAAGCACATGATGAGGCTTAGAGGCACCCCCTCCCACCTTCACTTCGCCATGCATCATTTTAAAGATCAGATCAGAAATCGAGGCAAGAAATGCAAGGAATTTGCAGTCAGTTCTACAGGGGTGAGAGTGCAGTTTAAGAAGTAATCACAATGCTAATTTGGGTTGGTTTGTATCTTTTCTTTGCTTGTAAGTAAAATACAGTGTGGATCTCATCAGGCCTGACGTGGGGATAGTTTTTCATCTTGAGATGATTGTGGTCTGATTTATTTCTACTCGTGAGATTTACTCTTTAGGTTGCCAGCGGTGCTAAATCTGCCTCAAGGTGCAGGATTGTGTTGACAGATGTCTGCTCCCTTGCTACCATGAAGTGAGGGCAAGAACATGAGGAGCACAGTCTATGGAGACAGCAGGATATGCTGGTTGTGGGGCAAAGCCTGGCAGTGTGAGGAATATACCTCTCTACAGCAGGGTTAGGTGAAGTTTAAAGCTGTTTTTCACTGAGTGTTCTTGTGCCATCAACTATATCTAGGCTGCGCTGCCCCTGTGGGGAAAAAGCAAGGGCACATTTCAACCCCACAGCTGTCATGGAAAGAAGAGGAGGTGTCCTGGTTGAAACTATCACAGGAGGCCAGGGTGTTCCTGTGAAGGAGAGCCTCCTGTGAAGGAGATGACTCTTAACTGCCTTTTCAGCAAGGATGGCAACAGCATCTCAGAGGAGCAATATCCCCATGGCACCACTTGCTAGCACAGCAAATTCAGTAGTTTAGCCTCTCATTCTGTGATGGATAGATTTACTAACACACTCTACCTAATGCCTGTTTGCTTTGACAGTTATCCATTCTTTAACCAGAGAATGAATATTTCCTGCCATTGAGGAGGCCATAATGTTTTTGATCACAACATTACTTTATTCATTGCTTTCCAATGGGAATAAGATCTTCTTTTTCTGGATTATAATCCCCTTTGTGAGTATTGCATATCACAAATCCATTGTTAACCATGTCGTTATTCTCTGATTTGAGAAAGGTTTTCAGCTTCCAGACTTTAAAAGACTGCGCTCATTCCTTCTACCTGTTGAATGACTGTGGACACCTTTCATTTAAGCCCAATGCAAAATCAAATAAAATGAGCAAGAGTTCTCTGTCAGCTGCAAGGACTGTTTTGTGAAACTATCACTCTTGAAAATACAGTTCAGGATTCTTCATTTCCAGAAGCTAAAGTTATGGTATTGCTCCTGAATCTGTGTTGGACTGCTATTAGTATAAACTTAATTTTGTAATCTCCACAGCAAAGAACACTCTGGAGTGTCATGTAGCCACTCCATGTAGTTTGGATGGGAAGTTATTGTCTTGGAATTGCAGTAGACTAAAAGAGAAAATTTAGCATTATATGGGAAAGTTATTGGAAAAGAGCTGTCTAAAAAGATAGCATCACTCTATAGAACAGTTGAGATTTCAGGGGAGAGGATATGTCAGCTATTGGACTGTATTATATAGGGGTCATTTATTTTAATTTCTTAGCTCTTAGCTGCTCTACCATGTGCTGAAGTTTTCTTTTCACTTTGAGTTTTCTATTGTTTCTACTGAGGTTGTTTCTCCAAGACGGAACTTTTACGTGAGAACTAGTGAGTGGAGCGGAGCAGAAACTGAAGCAGGATAAGCTTATTTCCCAGTCTGCAGAACAAAATGTCCCAACTTCTCTGAGGTTTTTTGCCCATCTCTCTTTGTTTCTGAAATGAATTTCAGTAATTCCATTTGAGACCTGAGAAACCTTTCACCAAATGAGTTTTAGTTGCATGAGAAACTTTGGAGGTGGTTAATTTTTTTGTGTGAAACATTTTTGGCTGAATGTCAGTATCCAGAAGGAAATTGAGGCCAAGGTCTTTGGGGAATCACTTGCGATTTTGTCTACCTGTCTTTCTTGCAAAAATTGAGGCATATTGTTGAAGAATTTCTGAAAATCAGCATTGTAAGCTCTAAGTATTAGGCATTTTATCAAACATATTTTTAAAATGATACACACTTGGAGCATTTGCTGTTTAATTTATGCATGGACCTGAGAAAAGGTTAGTTCCTAATCTGCAGTTTTCACAGTGAGGCCATAGAAAAGTCAGTTTTATGCTGGAGTTTGTAATTAATAGAGTAGGTGGAAGGGTCATTTAAAAAATATAAGCTTTTGAGCAAATTTTTGAAAATACACGATGCTGATTAGGACTTCTTAGCCAGGAATGCTATTCTCTGGTGTGCATTAAAAATAGGCTACTTGGCAGGCATTTCATAAATCCCAGTGCAGTGCCTACCCCCTGTTCACCCTGATTTTACCTGGAACTTATCGTTCTCAGTTGAACTGAGTGGGAAATGATTTATACAGCCTTTTTGAGATGCCAAGATTTCCAACCATTTTGCCCTGAGATGAAAACAAGACTTTTTAACTTATTTGTAAAATCTGAAAGAGACGGAGATAGACACATGGTTACTTGGGATGCAGATATTCTGGGTCGAGTTATTTTCTGAAGCATCAAGATAGATTTGAATGTGTGTTTCTCTCATCTCAAGCAATTGACGTGATTTGTTTGGGGCATCTTTTTTACTTTCCTTTCCTTTGTGTTTGTGACCAAAAATTTCTCTCTGGATCCAAGGTTTCCTTCTGGACACTCATCTGATAAGTTTAATAGAAAATGTTGGAATTTCATAAAATGTTTTGACTTCAATTATTTGTTTTAATGGAAGAACTCTTGTGAAAAAATTTCTAACCAGCCCTGTGAAGTTTGTATGCTGACTTATGTTATGTTATATCAGGTTAATAGTATTTAAAATACTTCAAGAGTCTGTTTGTGTTCCCTTTCTTAAAAATTAACTATGTTTAAACAGAATGTGAAAGAATAAATGAGTGCACCTATTGCAAAAGTATTTGGAAGACATAAGTTAAGAAAGACACAAAAATTTTGATATTAAAATATGCTTTAATTAACAGCCTAATATTTTTTCCTGAGGACAAAAGAATAAAGTGAGGACTAAGTTCAGAGACAGAGCATGTTAGTTCCCCGAAAGTCATAACCTCTAGCGTGGTAGGATTGCACTGCCCAATACCTCCTGGGCTGCCAGAATCTAAATCTCCAATTATAGGTCTACAATTACCCCACTGCAGAACATGAAAATGCTACAAAACACACAACTTTGTTTGCTTTTGAAATTTTGCTCCAAATTTATAAATAAGAGCACCTACATTCACGTGTGAGAATGTTACCCAGTCACTAGGGCAAAACTTGATGAACTTCTCAGTCCCACTGGAGGCATCAGACTTAAACCTAAGCTTAAAGTAAGCAACATGTTTAGCCAGCATCAGCTCTTAAGGCTTGATCTGAAGCTTATTGAAATCAATTTATTTCTGCTGATATCATGGGACTTTGGAATGGGCATTTTTTCAAACCTGAAATAGGGAAAAAACATTTACATATGGTCCTGTAGCAGATGAACTGCAGCTACATATCCAATGCATGCCTGGTAAGGACAGTTTT